GTTGCTTTATGTATGTAATTTTAATGCTAGATCGATTTTCAAATGTTATTTTGCACTTAATTTGCTTACAATTTTAATTTCAACCCCTGATTTCCTTATTTATTAACTTATGTTTGATTTTTTTAGTTAAGTATGGCAATCAATGTGGCTCTAAATTCGCTAAATTCAACTCATATCAACAAGTCTCGCTCTTAAGTTGTTGTTAATTTCATATAATTTCAAATTAGGGGTTAAAATTATTTTTTAGAGCAAAATAACTTCTGGCAAACGATCTGGCGTCAAATTTTACCATTTAAACATGTCTCGCTCTGAAATTGTTGTTAATTTCGTGACATTTCAAATTAGGGGTTGAAATTAAATTTTTAGAGCAAAATAACTTCTGGCAAACGATCTGGCGTCAAATTTTACCATTTATACATGTCTCGCTCTGAAATTGTTGTTTATTTCACATAATTTCAAATTAGGGGTTGAAATTATTTTTTTAGAGCAAAATAACTTCTGGCAAACGATTTGGTGTCAAATTTTACCATTTAAACATGTCTCGCTCTAAAATTTGTGTGAACATCATTATATTTCAATTTAGGGGATGAAATTAAATTGATAGCGCAAAATTGATGCTGGCAATCGCTTGGGCTTCAAATTTTACCCTAAAGTCATGTATTGCACTTCAATTTGTTTGTTTTTGAGTTAATTGCTAATTAAGGGTTGAAATTAACATTTTTCATTAAAATCAAATACACCATTGATTTCCTCACAAAATTTTAGCCTATAATCATGTTACGCACTTGACATAAAACTAATTTCCTTCAACTCACCCCCGCTCACCCCCATAACCGAATTAACTTGATTGGTGGAAAATTAACTCTAATTGAAGGACTTTATACTCAAATGGATGAGATAATTAAGAATTCATTACAAGCACCAATTATAATGATTCAGAAGCGGAAACAAAAAGTGGCACTTTTATTAAAACGACGTTCGTATCACGTATGAAGCACGTTTGGTGCTCGTAACGAGTTGCACGTAAACGTACTACGTTTTGGAGAATTGGAAACCACTGTCGGCACTCGTAATACGTTTACGGAGTACGTTTTGGCGAATCGGAAACCGCTTTTACGTTTTGCTGTACTCGGATTCCGTTTACGTGTATCGTTTTGGTGAATTGGAAACGGCTTATACGATTTCCTTGGCAAAACGAACAACGTAATGCGTAAACGAATAACGTAATGGCGAATTGGAAACCAGCCTTTATCGACTTGCAATGTACCTACATATGAAGTTTGCATCTGCTTTACTTTGCTTTATTCCCATTGTTACTTTTACAAAAACTAGACGTTCGCCCTGCAAATATATAATACTATTTTCACCCCAGGAATTTCACCCCTTCTGACTCGACTCGTTCGCTCTTCCGGTCGGCCCCCTGCCGATCAGCTTTATTTTTCCGATTTTCTTTCTTGCTCTCTCCCATGTGCCATTTCTTTCAATATTTTTTTTCTCTTTCTCGGCGCGACACGAGAAGTTGCAGTTGGAAAATAATAATTGGCAAGTCGAAGAGCCGTTCGGCGGCGGCGACCGCCTCCGAGGGCCGCCCCCGGGGACGGTGGTCCACCTGTGATCGTGCAATTTGTGCCATTCAAGGCAAAAGTCGTCTTGCCTCCCGTGGGAAAGACGGCGGAAAATAATCAGTCCAACAGAGGAGAAAAATCCACTCCAAAAAAAGAACTGCTAAATCTCCTGGTTTGTTCCCCGGCTCCACGTAAGTAAATTTGTCAAGCCGGAGATCAAGCTTGACAAATTAAAAAGAAAGAAATGTCCACTGGATCGCACCAGAGAGAAAACTTTTCTTATATAAAAACTGCGCGTTCAATTCAGTGTTGTTTATTTCAAGCAATCAAAAGTAATTTCGTTAATCCTGCTAATTATCAGTTAGTGGGTGTTGGTTGCAATCAGCGTTGAAAGGGCGCGTGTTTTTGTTTTGCGGTGCTGCAGCAGGGAGGAATTTATGGGGTTGAAAGTGTCCTCCGGATGGTGCATTTTCAATTTAGATAAAAGCCCGGCGCGGCTGCTGCTGTGTATTTGTAAGTACGGTTGCGCTCATGTCTCGGCGCGCAGTCACCTTTATTGGCCGCTGATTTAATTTTATTGCCCATCTGCTGCTGCGGCTAGCAGGTATTTGCACTTTCCAACGTGCACAACCGATCGCCGTCGCGGAATATCGCGTGGAGTTATGCGCCATTTGCATAAAACACAATGGAATTCCAAAACGAATGCATCAATTGAGTCTGGAAATCGATTGAAACGGCGTCGTCTGCAAAGGTCCAATAATTCCTGAAGGGGCAGAATTTTTTGTTTGGAAAAATGCAAAAATAAAAATCATGATTTCCATGATTGTTATTTTTCTATGAAAATCATAAATACACAATAAAAGCATTCTTATTTTTTAGTTTAATTTCATAATCCTTTTAAAACCATTTCCTCTAAAAAAGTTTGCAAGTGATCACTGAAGGAATTGACCGTCAGCTTATTTTCTCTGATTCTGCACTTTATACGGTTTTTACCTTTTGATCGAATAGACCAATCACGCCCCTAATTTTTCAGCATTCAAGTGACCAGAAGTTCTCTCAAGCAGAGAAACATTTCGTCTTTCTTCGTTTTTTTTTTTTGCGTCCCCCTGATGAGTGCCTCTCTGCAAGGTGTGCGAGTGAGTTAGTGCTAGTGTGGCGCAGTGTGATGAATTATAAATAATTGCCGCGTCGGAGGCTCTGCCGGTCAGTGGAATTATTTTTCTTCCTTCAAGCCGCTTTTATAAACTGACCGCGCGTGAAATAAAACCGACCCTGATCGAACGTGACCCCCCGTGCGACGCCACGTCAAATGGGCGCCCCTAATTCGCCCCATACACGCCGAGCACACGTGACCGAATTTCGTTTAATATGTGTCTATTTCTGCCTCAACGTGCGTCCAAGTGAAAATTGCAACCCTTGGCATTTATCAATTTATTCCACTGCAGCAAATTTACTCTCTTAGTTCACAATGATGAATTTACCAGAATTTTCTTCAAAATTTTTCTCGTGGTACAAACATTTGTTTTAAAGTGGCATATAGTTGAAAAAGTTTTGATACCATTTTATTGTATTTAAAATTTAAATTAACCTTATTAAAAAAGAAAATGAATTTTACTATCAGAAGTAAATTTAATATATTTAACATTAAACCTCATTTGTTAAAAACAATAATTAATATGATCGTGTCAAAACCAAAAGGGTTCTGTATTTAAAGTTTTAAAAAGTTGTTTGGCTTTGATAATGCAAAAGGAATAATTGATTTTTATTACTTTTAATATGTCTTCAGTATAGTAACTTTTTATATTTTTAATATTCGTTTTTAAAAAATTCATTTTTTTATCGTTCATGTTTAATTTCATTTTTACCTTCTCAAATAAATTAGATGTGTTGATTTTTATTAAGTGAGAGTGGAAATTTACATATACTGTAGTTGCCAGGAACGTCAACCTTCTCAAGAACGCACAAGACCTTTTCGATCGGAGGCTAATGACAATTTGTAGAAGACTGATTGTGCCAATTGACAGCACCGGCAGGCAGGCAGGCAGGGATGATAAAAGACTCGGCACAAAGTATGTGCTGAGAGGTAGCGCGTGATTGGAATGGCGTTTTAATTAGCGACTGTTTTATTGGAAATGTCTCTCGGGGATGTTTTCGAATGTTTAAATGCGCGCGGCCCTCCTTCTGCTTCTTCGGCAGCCGACGAATAAATAGATGAGGCACAAAAGACGCTCGAGAGCATCATTCTTCATCTGCTCATCAGCCCCTTCCCATAGCGTACAAGTTAAATCAGTGCTTCATCTTGAGAAAAGAGAAAATCTGGCAAGACTGCAATCAATTCTTCCGATCGCTCTTGTAAAATCAGTTTAAAAGTAAAAGCGAAAGAAAACATGAATGAAGTGATGGTCGAACGGAACACGAATGTTTGAAAATGCTTTTTGTGGGCAAAATTTTATGTAATTATCTTATATAGGGTAATTAACAAATTTTAAATTTCATTTTATTGCGTTTATTGAATAATATGAACAATTATTATCATTGTTTGCAATAATAAATTTGTGTTGTTATTTTTTTTAATATTATTAATAATTGTTTAATAATACAGTTTTACTTTTTAAAAATCATTAAAAATTATTAAGAAACTATAAATTTGGAAAATAATAATTAATTCATAATCAATTAAAAATGATTCATTTTATAAAAATTATATTTTTTTTTCTAAATTACATATGTTTTTTTCTATTTTTTTACAATTTATTTTTCTTAAAGATTGTAAAAAAATTGCTTAAATTTATATAAAAATCATTGCAGTGTACCTGCTTCTAATTGTACAATGTATTTTCAAAATAAACAAAAGTTATTTCTTAGTATTTGTATACAGCAATTTTGACCCTTCAAGTCATAAATGAGGATCGACTAAATCAATGATGCATCACGCATCACGTGCTCACGGACTGTGATTATGTGTTAAATTTTGCTAATTAAATACGTTCCAGGTATTTTTTTTTTATACATACGATGGTTTTCATTTGCTTTTAACTTCATAAAACTTGAAGGTTTTTCCGCATCAATCAATATTTTTTTGTCGAAACATAATTTTAAATTAATTAAAATTTTTTTAATTTCTCATATTTCTTTTACTGATGATGATACAACATTTACTATCAATAATTGACTGACGCCAGAAACGTATTCTTGCCACTATTAACCTTCAGTTTCAAATTCAAATTTGCAACTTTATTTTCATTTTATTTTAAACGGTGATGGCACATTATGTTCTAGGTGTTGCCCGTCGGGGTTAGGCCGGCCGCTCCAGAACAAGGCAAGAGCCGAATTCGCAAATTGGCGTCAAGATTGTTGGCCATCAAGGTGGTGCTCTCAACAATGGGGCGTGCGCTCACCAACGAGAGCACCGGAATGCGCGCGGCTGGGTGGGGAGCGGCGGCGCTGCGGTCGTCGAGGCCACCCCTCCGGGCGCCGAGGGTGCGTTTGGTGTGTCAGTGCGACACTCACCCCCTGACAAGGAGCACCTCTCTCGCCGGCGCGCCGCTCCGACAAGCACGAGACTCCGCTCTTCACTCGCGCAGCAGCTAACAGGTATGTCTGCGTTGTCTGCTATTTTCTCGCCACTGACTCACCACCCGCCAGGTGAATCACACCATTGTCTTCTTTCGCTTCACGCAATTCTGTCCGTCCGAGATGCAAATGAACCAGTACTTGGCAAAAACAAACTTTTAACACAACCGCGTCAACGGATTGCGATTGTTTGAATTGAACCGAATTTAGATTTTTAAACAGGTTCCGAGTTTAAATTAATGTTCTTGTTAAAATAAATCACGTTGGAAATAAAAGAAGCAAGGAAGAATCTAAAAATAGATGCTTCAGATTTTATATGGCTCATTTCCAGCGTGTCCGTTTACAAACTGCTTATAAAAAGTTGTTGAAAATTATAAGTATTATTATACAGTTAAAAAACTCTTTAATGCCAATTTCTGGTTAATTTTAAGTCATTTACTCGAGTTAAGAATTTAAAATGTAATTATATCAAATTTTACATTAATTTTATTTCCACTATTAGTATTTTTCAAATATCAATCGTTTTTAATTTAAATTCTAAAATTGTCTGATTTCCTGATTTTGTTCTAATTTAATGTACTTGCCATTTTGTAGTGAGTTTACTTATGCCAACTTTGATCATCAACATGACTTTTTTTCAGTTTGAATTTTAAGGAATTCTACAAAAGGAAGTTAGGTCAGAATTAATTAAATTTAGGATTTAGGACCAAGCTGCATTTGAAATAAATAAAATAATGAAAAATGTTAAAAAGTCTTAAAAGACTTGTCTCTCTACAAAAATCTTAAAAAATCCGGGCTTACTTTTTTTTGATTGGTTGAAAAAAAAATGATGTAAATATTGTCTGATATAGATTCTAAAAATAAAATAAAATTTCTATATTAACTACAATTCAGTTTTGAGGTAAACTTTTTGAAAAGAAATTAAGAAATTTGTAATCGATTTTCTTGCCATAATTACCTCAAAGTTATCGGATCAGATTTGTGGGGCGGAGAAAGAGGAACCTGTTGTAAAGGGGTTGATGATGACGACGCTTTTTGCCCCGGGGTGAATTTGATAAGGAGACAAAGGCCGGGTTGAAGACATTTGTAATAAATCTTGCACGCCGTGTCATCATCTCTTGAACCAACTACCAAGGTTCGTTGTCTCCCATCATTTGCAAATGCAAATTAATTAATTTCAATGCAAATCGATTTCAGAAGAAGACGGTGGAGCGAAATTACATTTTTACACTGTGCGAGACTTTGAAACAAATTTTTCTCTCGTCTCCATCGCACAGCCGGTCTTTTTCTTCTCGCGCCCTCGCCAAGTGGCAGAGATCATAACACACCGCCGCGCGATCGGTCCGAGCAAAGGAATATAAAACAACAAAAGACGTGTCTCTTTGAAATATCGGCTATTTTAAATTCCTCTCTCGGCTGATTGATGTTTATCGTGCGCTTTGTTTCTGCGGGAAAGTGAGCTTTTTTGGCTGAAGACCGCAGTGAGCGTAAATTACGCTTGATATAATAAAATGAAAAACTGAAATATTCTACAAATAACGTTAAGAATTAATAGCTTCTAATTTCAGCAGTGGGAACAGATTACTTTTTTTAAACTGGAGTTTTTACTCCATTACGTAGCTGTTAAGTTATTAATCAATATCATATCTATAAAATTATTACACCTGCATCAAACATGTTAAACAAAATTAGGAATTATTATCACATTTCATGATTATTTCATAGATCTTCGTGTCCCCTGAACAAATTTATATAAAATTTTGGTGCGCTGATCATAATTAAAATTTGTATACTGAGTTATGCGATGCCATACACAGGGATTAAAAACATTATTTCTGAAAATTATAATAATATTTTATATAAATAATCATATTATAAGATCTGGTAAATCTGGTAAATAAAAAAATAATAATAATATAATTATGTAAACACTTAATTATTTAAAAACTTAACTATATGTAAAAATAATTTTTTTACCATTAAAATATTGCCTTAAGCTTTTCCCAATAGATATGTGGAAATGCCGTCATGCTTACCATTTTCTATCTGCCTAAATCACAAGAAATCAGCTCAAATTGCAAAATAACTCGCGAGAAAAGCATAATATCTATTGTTTAAGGCATGAGCTAGAAACGTCTGAACAATGGCAAAATAGCAATAAAATTATTATATTGTATATTTTAGAAACAATAATTGGCGAGTTTTAATGATTATTTCTTAACAATTTTTTTCCATGGTATATTGGATTTGAAGTTGAGTAAATTACATCTGCATTAGGAAGTTGCATTTTCTAATTGGACAGGTGCCTGCAAAAAGTGTGCCAATCAAAGTGGTCAGTGGTGCGGTTGCCACTCGGACTGGCCGGTGCGGCTGTGATAAATCCATCGCAGCAGTGCCTGCGCCCGACAAATTAATGCAAACGCCTCGGATGCAATGCGTATGTAACCGCGACAATTATGCAGCTTCGGGATGTCAGGGGTGTTAAGTGGCCATCAGGGGTGTGACCGGCGGACGTCGTCGGCGAGAGAGAGAGACACTGACGCGGGATTTGTAATTTGTCAGCGGCGATGGTGCTGCGACAAAATAATGCCCAGCAAAGACAATGACGAGAGCTTTTATACTTTTTGCCTTTATTGCCGAGAAACGCCAAAAACACGCCCGTCCTCTCGTCCAATATATAAACACACACAGGCTTTTTTTATCCGCTCTCTCGGCCTAATGACCACACGAAGGAGAAGTAGTGAAATATGAAAGAATGCCGGGAAGAGCCGGCGCTCTCGGGCACAATGCAATAACTCAAAATAAACGCCGCGCGTTATATTCTTGTTGGCGAAATGGCTGTTTGCGCCGGCTGAAAAATTGCGTTTTAGTTACTAGAGGCCCCTTTCCGAATTGCGCAATGAGTCTGCTCGGGGAGTTTGAAAGTGCGCCGTGGTGATTTATTTAGCGCACTTTCTTTCCTTCGATTGCGAAAGTTTGTGAAAAATCGTGGACTAGCTCAGAAAACTACGGTCAAACTGAACAAGGAAATCTTTTGTTTATTTCTTGTTATTTCATCAAATGAACAATCGCAGTAAAATAGGCTATTGTTCCGAAAAATCCTCAAATAAATAAAATTAAAAAGATGCACTTGTCTAATACATTGTTCAATTTATTTATATTAGTTTTTATTTTACTTACATATTATATCACTATTTATTATTTTACTCTAAAAGATTGCTGGAATTGCAATAAATCAGGAATACTAAAGCCGGAGAACAGAATGGGGAAAATGCGGTAAAAATTATCTAATTCAATTGTTGAAGCTGCTGAATGATAGTTGATAAAAACTTGAAATGCATCGAAAAGTAATTTAAATTTCCTTAAAGTATCTAATTTTTTCATTTAATTGTAGGTGCAAAACATGATTAAAAATTCTTTGATTAGTCGTTTAGAATTCCCAATCAATAAACAGCTAAAAATTAGCACAATTTTTATTTCTCGAGTTAAAAAGCAAAATTGTTTTCAAATGAAATTTATGGAACCTCCAAGAGTATTAATTATGTATTTTAAATTTGTACGATCTGGGCGGAGATTGCCTTGTGGTAAACTTTATAAATTTCACTTGCAACTAAATCTCTAAGAAACGGCAGAGAATTTAACATAATATATCAAAAAATAGTTTTAACTTCTGTAAGTGATAAAAAATGTATAATATGAAAGCAATAAAAAATGATAAAATTTTCAGCTCTAAAGTTGCTTGTGACCTACCTATATGCCGTTTTAAGCCTTTTAATGGGCCACTGTGATATTCCATATCATCATCCACACCTTTACCAGCCACTCATGCATGAAAATGCCCGTCTGAATTTTAAAACATCCTGCGTGAAAAATAAAAACGCGCGTATATTATAGCGTGGCTGTTGAGCGGCGGACCAAAATTTTTACGGTCCCTCCGCGTCGTCAAGAGCGAGAGGCCATCGAATTCATTAATCTCTTTCGCATGCATGATGGTGTCAAAATTGATGGCGCCTTTGATGCGAGATAAAATTAATGCACCCATTCATTTTGGCGAGCAAAATATTCAGCAATGCATTTTTTGCGAGGCGAACAATATAATGGGGCCTCGGCGCGCTGCAAGAGAGAGAAGAGAAGAGATCTGTGCTCTCTTCTCCGGCATGCATGTACACCCCACGTATATAATGGGTACATACGCGGCGGTATTGATCGCAAATGGAGCATAATAAATAAAATATTTAAGGCCGTCCTATCTGTGGCAAAAATAAAATACAAGCCAGGCGGCAGCCACAAAAGGCCCTTCGCACCTTTATCTCCAGAGTAGCCCAAATGTGGCGGCGAACTACTTTTTTCGCATTCCTCCGGCGCACACACCGGTGGAAAGGTTTCCGTTTCCATTCTACGGTTCTCCTTCAAAATATTTATGACCATGCAAATGTGCCCAATAAGCGAAAATAGCTTTGTTTGTTTTTATGTGGAACCGTCGGAACGGATTTTTTTATGTATCTTGGTTTGAATAATAATTTTTCTAGTGAATTTTAACACTAGTATATTAGAAAAGTTATTTTTTATTTTACATTTTAGTCGGACCTCGGGAGTTCTAGAAACAAGTGAAACTCATGCTTCTGTTAAGAATTGGCTCGTGATTCTAAACTGAGGATGAAAATAAAAATTGGATCAACGCATCGTGTGCCAGGAAGCATAAACGTCCCCTATATTTTAATAAAACTGAGCGCAGAACAAATTTCTAGGATTTGTTTTGAGCTCTTGGATTGGCCGCGTGAAATTTCACCCGTTTTCAAGAGGCCGTCGCATTCTCTTCACTCACTACGGCCGCGTCGCAAAATAAACCCCAACTGGCTGGAACAATAAAAGAGAATTTATTTGAACAGTTGGTGGCGGGCCAGAAATAAAAAATCGCTCTCGGCCCGTATTTTTTGGGGGAATTCTTTGAAAATATAAAACACGTCGTGAGTCGTGACGAAAGAGAAAAATAATTTGCATCTGTCAAAAGTGAAGGATGC